AGACCACAAGCAAAAATGGAAGAACAAAAAGTTGAAGAACTTCTACGTAAAATGTTGGAACTTCAAAAGCCCAAACGACAACAAGAAAAACAAGACGAAGAGGCCAGGCGACAAAAAGAGCGGCAAGAAGACCTTGCACAACTACAGAAAATATTTCAAACCATACACGGATTTGTCACTAACCTAGAACAAAAGATTACGGAAGTAATAGCTAAAGTTAAAGACGATGTTCGAGAAGTTGAAGACGATGTTCGAGAAGTTAAAAACGACGTTCAGGAAGTAAAAGCTGAGGCAAAGCCGATGTTCAGCAATTAAGACAAGAAGTTAACAACCAAGTTCAAGTACTTGAAGATAAGGTGAATAAATTAGAAATACAGTCCATCAATCCAGTTAGTTTTGGGACATTCTCTAGTATGAAGATAAAACCACCAAATTTTGACGGCTTTACGTCCTGGACCATGTATATTCGACAATTTGAAGCTGCTGCAAATACCAGCGGTTGGAACGATTGAGAAAAAGCAATAGCACTAATAGTGGCGCTACGAGGATCTACCTAGAGACAAGAAGTATTTAGAACTCAAGTTAAATCAAGAATTCAAAAACTCGGCGAGAGTTTACAAGAATTTGAATCGGAAGTTAAAAGGCTAGTGAGTTTGGCGTTTCCTGCAGTTGGGGAAGACATGCAGGAATGGATGGCAGTATCTGCGTTCATTGATGGTCTCAGAGATTCCAAGAACCAGGAAAACCTAAGAATGTCTAATTTTAGACAAAGTAGCGAAGCTCTTGTCCGAACATTGGAACTGGAGGCAAACTTTGATGCTTCACGACCCAGAATATACGAGCAGTACGACCCCAAACAAACACCAACACCGAGAAACCGAGTAAAATCTTACCGCCATAAGCTTGGACATATGCAATGGGATTGTAGACTAAGGATGTCCTCTCCATTTAGGGATCGTTCCCATCGCTTTTAGAGATCTTGAGACGCCAGCCCTAAATATCAACCAGCAAACCTTCATGAAAATGCGGACGCTTTGTCTAGACGACTATGCAAAGAAGACTGGAAGTTTCGTGCTTCGTCAAAGAATCGATATGCTTGAGGAAAACACTGCTCCAGCTATGAATAGTACGGGTCTGATCGTTGATGACAAATGGACTACCAAACTAATGAAAGCAGTTCAAGAAGCAGACCAGGATGTCGGGCAAATTCTACATCTTAAGGAAAATGATGAATGTAGGTCAGAATGGAGGAAAGTATCGAACAAGAGCTTGATTTACAAGGCGTTGTGGGCTCAGAGGAACTCCCTGGCCGTAGAAAATGGTTCACTTAAAATAGTTTGGGAAAGTACGGATGGGAAATCCACTAAGAACCAACTGGTTATTCCAAAAGATCGAGTAGAAGATGCATTAAAAGAAATACATGATGGAACTTCAGGGGCACATTAACAAGACTTTGGACAAAATCCGAGAACGTTTTTATTGGGTTCACTATCATGAAGACGTTAAAAACTGGTGCCGAAAATGCGACATCTGTGTTACCAGTAAAGGTCCTAAACTGAGATCTCGGGGGCTCATGAAACAGTACAACGTCGGTCTCCATTTGAAAGAATAGCGATAGATGTTGCCGGATCGTTCCCTGAGTCAAAGCGTGGTAACAAATACATCTTGGTTATTATGGATTACTTCAGTGAATGGCCAGAAGTTTTCGCTATTCCCAATCAAGAAGTTATCACGATTGCCCAGGTGATTGATGGTGGACGAAGTTTCCAGCCGTCATGAAGTGCTACTAGAGTTGCATTCAGATTAGGGACGGAACTTCGAATCTGCCATCTTTGAAAGAAATTGTTAGATCTATGGGCATTCGTAAGACAAGGACAACACTTCTACATCCACATTCTGATAGCATGAACGATTTAATAAGAGCATAGAGGTACACCTGACAAAAGTGGTCGCAAAGAACCAGCGAGATTGGGAATTGGAACCAACACTCGCCTTTATTTTTAATGGCTTACAGAGTAGCTGTTCACTAGTGAACAGGTGAAAGTCCAGTTAGAATCGTTTTTGGAAGCGAACTCAGGTTACCTTGCGATCTGATATTTGGAATACCTGAAGAAGAACAAAAAGAAATTCGAGATTATGCAAACGAAGTAAGAGCACGACTTTTTGGGATACATGATTTTGCTCGGGAGCATATCCAGCTGGCCAGTGACCGAATGAAGACCAGATTCGACTTGAAAGCCAATTCAACCGGAAAAACGGATTTCAAGAAGGTGATCTAGTGTGGCTTTATAATCCAATAAGAAAGAAAGAAGTGTTGCCGAAATTGTGCGCAGTACATACATAAGCATGTAATATTTGATAAGAATAATTTTGGAATTTTAAAAACTTATTCGGTATTGTTTATCAATTTTTTGTTCAAAGCTATTTTCCTCAAGTTCAAGTTATTTTGGCCTCTGCTTTTTTCAAGGGCATAATTCACCTGCTATATTAGTCCAAGGTCCTGTTGATTTAATCTCATTAATAGTGATTTATTTCTGTTTACCTTCATTGTTATCACGTGTCTGAGGCCTTATCATTACTTTTATCATACCCATATTTACAGAAATGTGCATCTAAATTGTCAAAAACAAGGTTACATTTATTCAATAAACACCAATATTATCAAAATATTCTCGGTAGGTAACATAGCGATTCAAAAAATACTTAAATTTGACTCATTTACATTTAGAACATTGTCCTCAGAGCATGTAGGCACGTTTTGCCATTATTTTTACTCCAAAAACAGAAGAATTATAATAATATTCTATGAAGAACTAAATAATTTACTATACCTACTTAAATACTATTAAAAAATCACAAAACTTCTATGTATGTACCTACCTACATGATAGCAGAAAAAGATGGCTGCTATTTATTTATAAACCACTATAAACAATTAACGGATGTTTTATTTTTGATAAAATCAAATTATTATGGGTTTGTTCCTGGACCTGAAATTTTATGAGTTTAGCGAAGAGTTAGTATGTATTTTCGATAGTAAGATAAAGGTGTTTTAAAAAAATTCCAAATTGAAAACAAATAAACCATAAAATGGCCAATAGAAAAGGAAGTATTGCTTGGATTAGTGACAAAATTAAACAAAGTTTTGGCAGGTAGTAGAACATTTGACCATTTTTTTTTTAATAGTAATGAAAGAGTCAAACTAAGGACCGGTTTATCAGTGGACGGTTATCTAGTTTAGCTGTCGGTTAACCAATAGAAATGATTAGTTAACCAACAGCTAAACTAAATAACCGTCCACTGATAAACCGGTCTTAAGTTAGTTTATTTAAAGGTATGGTAAATGGAAGAGAATTAATACTTAATTTATACCAAAGAAGAGATTCTTATTGTGTAAATATAAATTGAGCAGGATGGCAACAACTTTTTCATTTTCAAAGATACAGATTTGAGTGAAAAAGCCCTTTCAAAAAATTATAGAAAATACCTATCTATCTTGCTCTGACTTTATCATATCCTAAAATCAAATATTACAAATTCGATTGTATCTATAGAAAGTTAATAAAGTCTTTTAGTTAAATATGATATCACATCACCAACAGACACTTGTTAGAAATACCAAAAAAAAATCACAAATATGTAATTAGGACAAAACCGAGATCAAATAAAACTCCAATTAACACTATTAACAGGTCACCATCATCCGTACCAAATATTTACAAAACCGTGAACAATAATAATTGTCTAGCTAATTAATTTTTAAGCAGAAGGTTCCTATATGGCATCCTCTATAATACAATATAAAGTGGCACTTCATAATTAATTGTACTTTATCAGGGGAAAGGTAGATAAACTGTAGTTTTTGTCGATTGCCACTCTAAATTTCAAAAACCGTCCGACTTTAATCAACCCAATTAGACAGAATAGCACCGTTCTTATTCAGTACCGCCAATTTAAGACTTTAGTCACCTTTTAATGGTCAACATAGTGAATACTATTCTATGTATATAATATTATACGATTTTAACAAATGCCTCGTGAATTATCGCGTGGAGTGATATAAAGCAAATTAAAGTACTTAAATACTCATGGAATTAGTTTAAGGTATACATTATCTGTGATAAATTGAATTCCGAAATCTGTGCTAAGAATATAATTAAGTAACTAGCTGATTTTGATTTTATGGAGCGATTAATTTAAGTTAGTAGGTACATAATTGAATTTACGTTTTTTTTTTAACTTACTCTTTTCTCAATTATTATACATTTTAGATAATAATATGCTTTTCGGCAATGTCCAGAAGAACCGTCCAACAAAGGTAGTTATTTATTTTTGCGTTGGCCATGATATAGGTAATCAGTGGTTTTGTTTAACGTGAAATAATCATCTTATTATTGTCAATAACCCAATGCGACAGTACATTGATGTAATAAATACTTCTTTAATTTGCTCATCTAGATAATATGCCCAAGAGCACTGAGGAGAAATCAAAAATATCTAAAAATATCTGATAATACCTAATACCAGCTTTTTCAAATTTTACCAAATTTGACAACCACAGACAAGTACCTACCTAGTTATTCTTCTGGAAAACTTTAAGTATTTTTTGACGACTAACCGTTTGTAACCGTGTTATAAACGGTAACTGAAATTAGGCCTTTTCGGAAACGCTTATGCGAATAACCCGATCACCAGTTGTTTGTTTTTTTATCTTTCTTAAATAAACACGATTGAAAAAAGACAAAGTACATCAGCTGGTGATCCGGTTAATAAGATAGGCCTAATTTTAGTTACCTACCGTTTATAAAACGGTTACAAACGGTTAGTCGCTAAAAAATCCTAATAATGAACCACAATAAAATGGTTATTTTCCTGATGATTCCAGATCAGAGTTTCTAAATTCGTATTTTAAAACTCTTTACAGATAGAACATATATTAATATTAGACGAAAAGTTTGAGGTTTGGTTTAATGTTTTGCACCGACATTATTGATTTTCAGAAAATCATTCCGACCAAATGCAATACGAAAAATGCGAAGACGTGCAGTGTTCAAGAACGGCGACTGCAACATCCTCCAATCCAGAATCTCAAAGCGGCGTTTGCGTTACCTGCAAGATATATTCACCACCTTAGTCGACTCACAATGGAGATGGACCCTTACCATATTCGCCATCGGCTTTGTTGGTAAATATAGCTGGATAACCTATAACATATTATCCGATATAGCTGTTATTAACAGTTTAGTTTTGGTATAAATTATTTATTATTTCAAAGACACCTTGCTCTCGAGAAATAAAGGTACTCACTAGACCATCACCTTCGCGAATTTAACTTTCTTATTCCGATCAAGGTTCCAACTGATTCTATGAGCTTTTATGCATGGTCATAGTTGACCATTTTTCTCAGATCCAATTTTTTTGTGATGCTTTTCTTCGCTCTTTGCAAGTTTTTTTATTTATAATTCAATACGTATCAAGGTGCGTAGAGGGTCATTCTGTGCTGAATATTTTCCCCAGATTGTGTGATGTGATCCAAGTAGGTTTTTTACGTACGTGTTACTTCTCCTCAATCTGGAATGTTCCAGTTTCAGGTCACCTTGACTTCCATGATCAGTCCTAAATTCTTGTCCACCATTTTATGTCTTCTCCTTCCGCTGATATTGACCAGTAGGATCAACCCTACACTTTGAAAAAGGATGACTTGGATCTCCGCTGGGTTGATCCATCCTCCAGTGGATCCAGTGTTGCCAACTGCGGATCAACTATTATAGTATAGAACGCTATAAAATTATAGTATATTTGTACAAATTATAGTATCCTGCTGGAGACAGATGATCACCAATTGACCTTTTCAATTTAAAAGCCTCTCTCTCTGGCGTCAAACTGTCAGACGCCAAAACAGTATGAAAACAACGGTTGACAGCCGCTGACAGTGGTTTGTTGACAAAACTTTTGTACATGTGGAAACTGGAAACTATTATTTCCTCGGTTTTTTCAAAGTTTTTTCCTAACAATGGTGATTGTGTAGTGTGCCTTATTGTAAAAATAATTCCTATTTACCGGCGGACGTGTCTTTCCATAAGTTTTCATCAAATCCTACATTTGTTAAATTTTGGATACATAAAATCAGAAAGAATACTCGCAAAAAAAAGGGAATCCACGGCCCATCAAGTATACAAAGTAATCCACGTTCAAGTTTAGTTTGCGGGAGCTGTTTGCTTCCAAAATAATTCACCGCTTTCTCCATAGCGAAGTTCTGCAAATGAAGTAGTAACTTTTCCCTCAATTTCTTTCAAAACACCTAATACACACTGGCATTGACAAGCAAGCAAATGTTGGCGGGAAAATGATTGTTTTAACTACAATCAACTAATATGAAATACAATTGATGCTTTCCGATATAAAATTAACTAATCTGAAATACAATTGACACTTTTTGAAATAAAATAAACTAATCTGAAATACAATTGATTCTTTCCCAGATAAAATTATTTATTCTGAAATACAATTGACGCTTTCCAAAATACAATTTACTAATCTAAATTACAATTGACGCTTTCTGAAATTAAACTGACGATCTCTGAAATACATATGGAAAAGGTGTAGTCATAAATGCACCATCCAACATTTTATTTTTCTTCTGGAAAAGTATTCAGGGGAAAATTATGACATTTTCTGGAAAAAAATAGGAAAGTCAGGGACGTATCATACTAAAATTTCAAATTTTTCCAGTGGATAATAACCCCATTGGAAATTAATGAAAATCAACTAAATAAGGCATAAAGGCACTATCTAACATTTTATTTTTCTTCTGGAAAACTATTCAGGGGAAAATTATGACATTTTCTGGAAAAAAAATAGGAAAGTCAGGGACGTATCATAATAAAATTTCAAATTTTTCCAGTGGAAAATAACCCCATCGGAAATTAATGAAAATCAACTAAATTAGGCATAAATGCACCATTCAACATTTTATTTTTTTTCTGGAAAACTATCCAAAGAAAAATTATGAAATTTTTTGGAAAAAAAAAGAAAAGTCAGGGGCGTATCATACTAAAATTTCAAAATTTTCCAGCGAAAAATAATCCCATTGGAAATTAATGAAAATCAACTAAATTAGGCATAAATGCACCATCTAACATTTTATTTTTGTTCTGGAAAATAATCTAAAAAAAAATTATGAAATTTTCTGGACAAAACGAAAAAAGTCAGGGGCGTATCATACTAAAATTTCAAATTTTTCCAGTGAAAAATAATCCCATTGGAAATTAATGAAAATCATTCAATTAGACATAAATGCACCATCTAGTATTTAATTTTTTTCCTGGTAAAACTGTTCAGGAGAAAATTATGACATTTTCTGGAAAAAAAGAGTAAAGTCAGGGGCGTATCATAGTAAAATTTCAAAATTTTCCAGAGGAAAATAACCCCATTGGAACTTGATGAATATCAACTAAATTGGGCATAAATACACCATCTAACTTTTTATTTTTTTTCTGGAAAATAATCCAAAGAAAAATTATGAAATTTTCTGGACAAAACGAAAAAAGTCAGGGGCGTATCATACTAAAATTTCAAATTTTTCCAGTGAAAAATAATCCCATTGGAAATTAATGAAAATCATTCAATTAGACATAAATGCACCATCTAGTATTTTATTTTTTTCCTGGTAAAACTGTCCAGGAGAAAATTATGACATTTTCTGGAAAAAAAGAGTAAAGTCAGGGGCGTATCATAGTAAAATTTCAAAATTTTGCAGTGGAAAATAACCCCATTGGAACTTGATGAATATCAACTAAATTAGGCATAAATGCACCATCTAACATTTTATTTTTTTTCTGAAAAACTATTCAAGGGAAAATTATGGAATTTTTTGGAAAAAAAGAATTAAATCAGGGGCGTATCATAGTAAAATTTCAAATTTTTTCAGTGGAAAATAACCCCATTGGAAATTAAAGAAAATCAACTACATTAGGCATAAATGCACCATCCAACATTTTATTTTTCTTCTGGAAAACTATCTAGGGGAAAACTATGACATTTTCTGGAAAAAAACAGGAAAGTCAGGGACGTATCTTAGTAAAATTTCCAATTTTTCCAGTGGAAAATAACGTCATTGGAAATTAATGAAAATCAACTAAATTAGGCATAAATGCACCATTTAACATTTTATTGTTTTTCTGGAAAACTATTCAAGGAAAAATTATGACAATTTCTGGAGAAAAAGAGAAAAGTCAGGGCCGCATCACACTAAAATTTCAAATTTTTCCCGCGCGAAACAACAAAATTAAAAATAATTTTAACAATTAAATAGGGGTGCGTTCGATAACACCTTTTTTGGTATAAAAAAAGGACCCGCTTAGGAAAATCACACACAAGTGACTAGACATAAGGGCTTGCACGCCAACACATTAGGAAACCAATAGGATTAGGACTAGTTGTTAATAGAAAGTATGATTAGGCAACAAATTAGGATTAAGAAGTGAATAGATTAAGGGCTTCCAGCCAACAAATTAGCATTTAAAATAGGCTAAGGAGAACTAGAATAAGGAATCAGGATAAGGGCTTGCACGCCAACAAAATAGATTTAGGAAAATTAGAATAACGGCTTGCATGCCAACCTAGGTTAAAAAAAGAGCACACCCACTAACTATCCGTGGTTATAATGCTCCATTCACAGTGGTATAGTATTTTTAATTTGAATTGAAACACTAAAAAAACATCTATGCCGTTTTCACGCGTCAACTTTTTTCACATTGGCTCAAAACCAGTTTGAAACAGTCAGTGGAAACACCATTGCCCGTTTCAAACCTATTTTGAACCAATGTCGAAAAAGGGAACGCGAGAAAACAGCGTAGATGTTTTTTAAATGTTTCAATTCAAATTAAAAATACTATACTTGTAGCTGTTTTGTTTAAATAAGGTTTACATTTGAAAATTTTATCTCGCATTTTGCGTTGGAATAAGGAATCGGAAGAACTGGGCAAGGATGGTTGCGTTGCGTTCACAAAGTGGATGAAGTGCTGACGCTGATGACCTCGTCTCGTATCCCACTGATGGCATGGCATTTTTATTTCTATTTTTTTGGATTTATTTTCCAGTAAAAAACTGAATAATTTGATAATGCATAATTATAGTATTTTAGGCGTACTTTAATGACCTTTGATAATACATAATACATAACCATTCAATGGGTACATTCAGGCGGTCCCAGCGGCTAAGCTCAGCCACTCAGCAGGGAGTTTATTCTCGAAACCAAGGAACAGCGTCCTCATAAGAACGATTGCTCTGTCATTGTCAGTGTTATGCCAGACGACAAAGACAGAATCTTTGTTCCAATAAGAACGCTGCTCCCCTGTTTCGAGAATAAAGTTCCCGCTGAGTGGCTGAACTAAGCCGCTAGTACCGCCTGAATGTACCCAATTATAGTACAAATACTATAATTATAGTACGGTTGGCAACACTGAGTGGATCCATCTCTTACCCATTCTGGGTTTCTTCCTTGATGTGAACACTAACCCTTTTTTCAGTTTTCTTGTTCATAAGAAATGTTTGCCAATCTTTAATGCAAAGGTTCTACCTATCAGGTAATTATGGACCATTTTACAAGTGTTCACTGTTCATTTAAATCATGTTGTGAATTAGTGCGTGCAAGAGGGCTCCAGTTATTTTCTTTCAATTAAATCCATTGGTGACAGGTTTCACTATTTGAATATTGTGAGCGCCTGCATATTTTCGATTACTATTTTGCCACCCAGGCCTAGGCCGGAAAAGTGATTCCCGTATTGTTATTCATTGATTCCTTAGCAACTATTGAAACATAATTAAAATACCAGAATATTGAGTTTTGCGACTTGTCAACCGGTCAAAAATGTTGACATTTCTTGTCAATCGCAGAAAAAATTGATTTTCTCTCATCACAGCACACTAATTTATTGAAGTATTCAGCTTTACCAACCAATTTCTATCTTTCTAGGTTCTTGGCTATTATTTGCCCTCATTTGGTGGCTAATAGCATTCACTCACGGTGACCTAGAAGAGGAACATATGCCAAATAACCAAGAAGACTCCCAATGGACACCTTGCGTCCTAAATATTCACGGATTCACTTCTTGTTTTTTGTTTTCTATTGAAACCCAACATACAATTGGGTATGGTGTACGGACTACCACCGAAGAATGCCCTGAAGCTGTCTTCATTATGTGCTTACAGAGTATCGCTGGGATGATTATTCAAGCGTTTATGGTAACGAATAACTTATATGAAGTTTTATGTGCTGTGCCTTGCAGTGCTGTTATTCAACTTTAATTCTTTTATTTCAGGTAGGTATAGTGTTCGCAAAAATGACCCGACCAAAACTCAGAACGCAAACCCTTCAGTTTTCAAAAAACGCAGTCATTTGCCAAAGGGATGGGAATTTGTGTCTAATGTTCAGAGTGGGAGACATGAGGAAAAGTCATATTATTGGAGCTAGTATACGAGCCCAACTTATCAGGGCTAAGAAAACGAAAGAGGGAGAGGTAAGAAACAATGATTGATGATTCAGTATTTTCACAAAATAATTGTAAATGTAGAAAGCAATATTAGTGAGTGTTACAGAATTAATGGTTGGTTTTAGATTTTGAATAATTTTCAAACCGAGCTTCCAGTAAACGCCGACGGCTGTGACGGTAACTTATTTTTCATCTGGCCAATGACTATTGTACACAAAATTGACGAAGAATCTCCGTTTTATCAGTTGTCTGCCAGTGACTTGTTGCAGGAACGATTTGAGATTGTGGTGATATTAGAAGGTAAGAGTTTGCACAAATAATAATTTTGCTGGGAGTATGATTTCTGCAAGTAAAAGTGGAACTGGATAGGACATGATTTTAAGAAGATTTGTATAATAAATGTCAATACATTACAATAACGCAACGATGAGTTTTCAAAACGAATCTTATTATACAAAGATGTACTCAAACAGGTTCTCTGCCTACAAGTGATCGGACCTATTTTCTAGGCAAGACCATGGGGGAAGGATGAAGTAAAAGCACACGACATCAACTTCAACTATTTACACTATATTACAATTTTACACTATTTACAGACACGACTTGAGATTAAAGGATACCCGAAAGTAGAGCCTTTGTGCTATAGGTGCAAAACCATGAGCACAACTTATTTATGAATAATTTAATAATGGCGAACGAATCGCTTACTGCCTTTTTAACTTAACAATAGGAGAGAACATTCTGACCCCAAGACAAGGAGCAAAACTGACTGGCCTCAATGACATGATAGACAACTGATATTTTTGTAGGCAATGTTGCCATATTTTAATTTTAAATATACATTGTTGCCACATGTAGGATGTTGTATCCAACACAAGTGTGTAGAATATGTAATTCTAAACTTGTTATACACTATTCTTTCTCCAACAAGATTTTTTAATGTTTTTGATTTAGAAAATAATTTAAGCTTCTTTAAATTAGGGCATTTATTTCTTGTAGGTACAAATGAAGCTCTGGATTTCAAGTCTTGATAATTTGTCTCATTGACATAATATTTTTCTTTATAGGAACAATCGAAAGTACGGGTCAAACAACACAAGCTAGATCCAGTTATCTGGCTAGCGAAGTCCTGTGGGGTCACAGATTCGAGCCGGTGGTCGCTTACAATAAGGACAGGCAAGGCTACGAAGTAAACTATTCCAAATTTGACAATACTTTGGCCGTGGACACACCGCTTTGCTCTGGAGCTGAATTGGCGGAGTTTTATAGGATACGAGATATACCAGGTAAACATATTCACAAATCAAAAATTTAAATAACGTGAAGTTGTTTAGAAGTAACTCTTGTTGAAATCAACCTACTAATCATTTAGTTTCATCTTTCATCTAATACAAACCCAATAAACTGACCTAAAAAATATTCCTTGTTCGTTTACTTGAAAAATTACAAAAAGAAATATAACCACAACCACATCTGAAACTGCCTAAATTGCTGGCACACGCGAAATTGTTTAATGATCTCTATTATTCGTTCATTTAAGTTCAAAAGAGGCCGACTAATCATCCTTAATATCATTAAATTATGTAGGTACCTAAAACATTAAATAATTATTTTATCACAAAACCCAAAACCTATTCATTTTGCTTGGTCTCTCCGAAGAAAATATGTTACAAACTAGTCTCTGCCAATATGTATTAGCGAAAATTGGTTTGCAAATAATCAGATTTATTGGTTTAGTTTGAATGATATATTTTTTCTAGATTCGGAGAAACAGCTGGTTACTCAAGATCAGTACAACAGTTTTGTGCTGAGGTCACCTCCACGATCTACAGTTGGTCAGACTAAAAACGTTGACATTGAAGATGATGTCAATGAAACTAAGCCTTTTCCTACCGATTATTTGTAATCATAAGTCCAAGCTGATTACTTTATGAACACCATAATTATAGACTATTGTCTATTGGATACAGCATAATCTAATAGTTTTGCTTTTTAAATATTGTAAAAAAATGTTAAAATTAGAAAAGTGATTTTATTATAAAATTTCTGAAGTTATACCTAGGCGTAAAAATGTACATATTATAAAATGTGAATGCTATTTTTTAACATTTTTTTGTTTCATTTATGTACGCTACGCTCCAAGGAAGTCTCTCTCTGGAGGGTATTTCTGCTTGATCCTGATGGTTTAGGATAGAAGAGCAGAAGGGCCTTAGTACCAGACAGGACTTAAAGTCACGGCATTTGCACTAGGGCATGACAGGTTACTTACAACCAGACTGAAGCACTTGTAAGTTGGAAAGAAGTCCTCAACCAGACAAAGCACTTGTTAAAAACCTTTAATTAGACAAAGCACCTGCTACAGGCTTAAGGAAGAGCCGAATGTAACTAGACAGGGTACCTGTTACAATAGGGCCAAAGGAAAAGTAATTTTTAGAGCGCCAGTCTCACATAAAATACAGTGTGGTAATAAAAATATATAAAAATAAATGTTCCAATTTGGATAAATGAACATTCTGCCGCCTCTCAATTTGTTGACTTCAAATTCTTCCGGTTTGGTAGTCCTTTTCTCTCTTGTTCGAAATCTTAGATATTTGATGCCTGGTAATACACATAACTACCACGATTGTTGCAATGGTAGTTGTTACTCTAACTTAGCTAGAATGATGTCGCAAATCTCTCCATATATTATGGTTTTGAAGTTCAATCGGAATTGAGTTCTCTTCTGTCATTAGGCAAGTTCGGTTAATTCTGCGAAAGCTGAAAAAAAAATGATACTGTTGGCAGAAGTCTATGTGATCTTTGATTTGAAGTTTCAAACTCTGACGCTGAGAATTAACCGAAGTCCACTATGAATGAGTTTAAATTATCTGAGTGCCCAATTACTGACCCAGATGCTGACTGGAACTGTAAATGTTGAATGTGTGGGTGGGTTCGTCGTGTCTATCGAGTGAACTAGCTTTGAAGTAGCTATGGTTAAACTGCTATGTTCCACTCATATTGGTGTTAGTGTTAACTGTTTCGGTTCTATGATACAGTCGCGAGTCATGCTGGAAATTCCTGTTGCAATAATGGCAACATCTTCCCGGACTCTACCACAAATAATAGCTATATTGGCTGATCCATTTGTAATAAATTACCATGTATTTGGCGTGGCCAGTTGTTTCCATATTGTAGCCTGCACTGAATTTGTGAACTTTTTGCATTTCTTGGCTTCAGGCTTATGGTGTATTTGATCAATAGTAAAGTTGCTGTCATTATCAATGTTTCTTATTATAACATCTGATAAACAGAGAACCAGGTGATGTTTTAATTTCAAGCATCGTTCAAATTCTTCTTCATGGAGTTGAAAGTAAAGCTGAGAGTAATAGTCGATGGCGCTATAATCGTTCGATATATTTAATGCCAAGTAGCAGTTGTTGGATATTGGTATTGTAGTTGAAGTTACTTTTATAAGATCAAATTGTGATATATCTATTATGGAAAAATAGCCAAATACTTGAAAGTGGCTGATATTCTGGCATAGGTACATTTTCATCACAGGCGTAGATAATACTTTCAAGTTTTTTAGTAATTTTCTGTTGATATCCGTTATCAAAGTATGAAGATATGATATCGTAGATTGTTCCCCTGTTGAACTGGATATTTATTATATTCTCGTAGTATGAAATTATTTCTGTGATGAAGTTAGTTGCTATTTGATAAGTGCTTAGGACTAGGACATGAATATTGCTTATGTCCTCGTTGACGTAAAAAACGGATGTCAGAAATTTTCCCAGTAAAACTTTTTGGACAAAGTTGTATTTCATGGAAGGTCTTAAATATCCAGATATGTTGTTGCTCCTCTAGATGATGGTTCAATATTTCACAATGCGTTCCTTCGGATAGTTGTTTTGTTACACAGCTCACAGCATATCAAAATTGGTTACGACGCTAGTTACATTATGGATGTTTTCTTCGATTTTTGTTCTGTTGTATATAAGTGACTTCCATTCTCTATTTATTTGTTCTGTTCCAAAATGTTCCATGTAAATATCTCCTTCGGGATATTTTATAACATAACTGCTTTGACACGTTGGGGGAAGCATCAAATCAAACTCAAGCTTGTTTGAGAGAGGTAGGTTGCCTGATAACTTTTATGACATCATCTGGGGTGCCTCAGCATAATGCAAATCTCTATAAGGCACCCCAGATGCGTCATCAAGTTACCCATTACCAGAGAACCTTATTAACTTTAGGAATCTTGCATCAAACTGACCCATAACATAACGTAAATAGTTGAATGATTTGGAAATGAGATCCTATTGATTTCTCGGTTTTCATAATATATGCTTCTTCACAGTACATTCTCTTTTAATATTTTTACTGCTTGAGGTTATGGTAATATTTGTTGTAACCTGAGTGGGATTGATCAGTATTTCTTTTCCTATTTCTTCTACTGGTAATGGGATCAATGAATATTGGTCGTTTCAATATAGCTCTGTCTGCTTTCTTAAGTGTGACTATACACTCTTATTACCCCATATCTTCCAGGATAAATATCTGATTCGCGTGCTAAAAGCCATTGGCTGAGATTTATCGTATTTTCTTTTATAATTACCATGGTTCTTTTTTTCAGGTTGGTTCCCTGATTTAGCTATTTATATTTTTGTTGCAATCTACCTAAATATTCTATGCTCCAAATTTTCCAGAAGTATCTTTTAATTTTTTGAGTAGGTACCTATGCCTCCATTTTTCTGACAAACTGAAATTTATACCCATTTGTTAAGAATACACCCAAGTTTACTTTAATTAAACGTTTATTTCAAAATCCAAATCTTTACGTGTTTACTTTTACAACAACAATAAATCGATACAACACTTTCTTTTCAAAAATCTAACCTCAATTTCTTTTTCCTATTTCTATTATTTCTTCTTTTTCTTTTTTTTAAACTACCAAAACATAATTTCAACAATTCAGGTATTTGTGAGGATATTTAGAAAGCTTTATACCTGAGGATTAATATTTTTCAGTGATTGATAGATTTTTCATTGGATTTTACTAGATTTCTACCTCTTTGATTGGATGCGAAACAATATCTAGTTGTTGAAAAAGGGTATATTTTTCGAGATAATAATGAGTAAATTCTTTGTATTCAGATGACAGGGTAGTTTTAAGATAATAAAGCCCTACTGTTACGATCGAAATCTATTTTATTTAGCTTACGAAAGTTGTCTAAAAGGTCCTAACTGTCGATCAAAAGATTTGTTTACTTCCAAATAAATATCAATTGGCAACACTTACGAGTTACGTATTTTCCATTATTAAAAATTCTGCAACATCACACATCACTTTCACACCCTTTAAATCGCTTTTCCACCCTTATTTCCACTATTTTTCACATTCTCCCGGTTATTTATTTCCGCAGAATAAGTGTGGTTAAGGGACACTTGTGGATCCATTTCAAGCAGCGTTGTTGTCGAGGTTTCTTGACCCCTGTGGGTAATAGAGTCACTGTAGGTGTGACCACTGAACGACTGGTCATTTTGATAGTTTTTAGACTAAAGGCTGGGTAGATGTGATTAATAAGTTACTAATTAAATAATTAGTGTTAGGGGAGAAAATTGGATAACGATTTTGGGTTTCGTTTGTCATCAATGTGGTCTGGGTTGTCCCGTTCCAAGCTGATTGTTCCGTTTTCCTGGTCAAGGCCGGAAATCTGGCACCAGAGGGCATCTTGGAAAAAAAAATGGACTTCTGGTAAATTTCTTGTGGGAGCTCACCTAATAAATTGCTGAAAATAAGGTCGTTCTTTTCAAATTCGCACGTTGAGCAAACAACAAGTGGCAGATTTTACCAGCGGTGCTCTTTGCTAAGTTCCTTGGAACATCCACCTTTTGTGGGATTTTGGAGGCGTTGGAAACTCGAGTGGTTGCTGGCTTAATTATTGGTTTTGGGGTGAAACTTGGATTTGGTCGTAAGTCCCCGTATTTGTAAGCCAACCATTCAGAATTTTCTGGAGACAAAGGTCTACGCCATTTTGCTGAATTGTCGATGCGAGAAGAGAGCACGTTTTGTTCAACTAGCCCAATTTGTAACCAGGTAAATTTAACGTTTTTATCTACGACCTGCACAATAAGTGACTATTATGTCACTAATTTTTGCTCATTTGTGTTATGTAATGAGTCCTATTACCGCACCAGTGCGATAATAAATCATAACGCGTTCATTATCGCACTAGTGCGTTAAGAGGTTGTAGCAAATCGCCCCAAGTACTCTATGTAAATAGTTAGATGGTAAATGGCGAGCGGTATATTGATGGTGTTTATATGTACTTGGAGCTTGCTATCTAAAATCTGTGGAAGAGGGTCTATTTGCAAGAGAGAGAAACAAACTAAGGAGGTGTACTAAATTATATTTTATTTCACATAAAACTCAAAAATCAATTAGCCAAATATCTCCCAATACTTTACATCCTTCTTTAATTCTGTAAAATTAATACTTCACATCCGTTCTATATTGTTATTATACGGACCACTGAAATATGCCTACTTAATAAGAAACGCCCTATTCATACTATTTCTCAAAATAATATTTCTATTTATTTCACTACATCCGAATCATTCCTAATAACTACCCTTTACCTAGTCAAATAATTCCTTAAAATCTCTAAGTCCTTTACTTATGAAAACCCAAAATAATTACCTATTTGTTTAACAACTAATTTATTCTCATAAAATCTTACAATAACCTCTACTTGTAAAATAAACTCCCTAATTCAAAATTCATTCCATGGACAATAAATTCTTTTAACGGCTTTCCCATATTCTAAGACAATTATATTTCATGAACAAGTTTAATTTACGAAACATCCTATTTCCTTTTAATTAGTTTATTTAATCAGACAAATTCTATTATAAGTTTCCTTTTAACTAGTTTCCAATATTTTAAGAAAACAATTCTATTATGTCATCAAATTTCTTTTTAAAATTTCCTATTGCAGTTAATAGTTTCTTAGAACAAATTCTATTTTCGGATTCCTATGCCTAGCTAATAAATCCAACTGTTTAATTCATAATTTCCAA